TAAATAAATAAATAAATAAATAAATAAATAATAAATAATAAATAAATAATAATAAATAAATAAATAAATAAATAAATAAATAAATAAATAAATACGTCACGAAAACTCCCGTCTCTGTGGCAACTATCAGGTGATACAGGGCGCGCGAAAAACGAATAACTGTCGTTCATTGTTTAACAGCGTGCTATATTTATCAGCCAATAAACTCCACGCTCAGGACCATGGGTAGATGACATATTTTTGAAATTGTAACTTTTCATTTGACAAAAATAAATAATACAAGGGCAGATTATTAGCTAAAACCACAAAGTTGTCATTAAAGATGCAGGGGAAAACAAAGTACTATCGATGCATCAAAATGTTACCTCGCGTTTCTCTACGTATTTCACAGATGGTCCTAACACAGAGCATCATGTAATTTTACTCAAAATAAAAAACTTTCTGAATCACTATAGGGAGGGAAAGAGACGAAAGGGAATTTGTGTTTTTCTAAATGATACAGCCCAGTTAATCTGTCAAGGAGCAAAGTGATTTCTGACTGGTTTTGCAAGTGAGCAAGCGTGAACAATTTCGGAAAGAAAAAAGTAATTATCTTTACATTTCTACATTGCTCCCAACAGCATGTTTTGTATATTATCAGTAACTGTAAACAAATAGTACAATAAATATTGTATATCATCTTTATATAAATCAACTCGTTTCCAAATGTTTTCGGAAGATTAAACTGCATTTTTAAAACTGATATTTGAAATAGAATACTGTTTATACGCTTGAACATATCGATATTCTGTCGAAAATCATTTAATGGTGGATGGCAATGTGACGTGAACGTAAATTAAGTTGCTGTACATGCCGGTTCAAAGATTCAATCAGAAATTCAAATACATGTTTTAACAAATACAACTAATCAAACATGTAACAACGTCCCTCCTGTCGTTCGACTTGACACGAGATCTACTGAATGCACATAAGTTTGATATTACTTTCACAATGACAGTCATATTCATCAATAATTCCAAACACTATTGCGCAAGATGTTTGTACATACCCACGATCGATAATGAGCAGCTATTATTTAACAACATGTCTAGAAGTTGCCAGGTGAATGTACAATGGAGGAAATACCAAGGCCACTGGAACATGCCAATAAATGGAATTTAATGTAGTGATGTATTCCATCAATATATTACGAGAATGAGAAGGTATTGACAGGTAAGAGAGCGTTACTTGGTATGAAATGCATTTCGGACATGTTCGTATAAGGCTTTGAAATTTGGCAATGAAATAATGCAATAAACACGTGTATTCAACAGTTGCCTTTTGTCGCAATAAAATGCACACTTCGAAACCTATGAGCCAGACGCTAATATCTGAAGTAAAATGACCAGCAACGTGAGCATTTCATCTGATCAGTAGTCAGACAGTGGAACGAGTAAACGTTTAATTAACGTAATTTGTGTTTTTTTCCCGACGGAACAAGCGTGAAATTCCTGCACCTCTTGCAAGGGATTTGATCCACTTCAATACTGTCTGAAAAGAGCACTTCGTTGCATAGAATAGAATAAAATTGCAAATGTTTCAAACGTAGCTTATGTTAATGTGATAATGTTTCCTACGAACGACAAATAGTAGTCAAATTTTGTCATTTTCACAAAAAAAACATATAAAATATTTTTTTACAAAAACATTGATTGCAAAATTTTGACCAATAACAAATGATGTTCATTTCGTCCAAAACTATCTAAAAAGGTCAAATCTATGATGCCCAAACATTTTAAATTGCACCAGGAAGCAGGCAGTCTACCAAATGTGCAACAGCAATGCCATGCAAATACTATATTGGACATCTATAACAAACAAAAATAACCTAATAATGGAACAACTGATATAACTGGTAGATCTGTTGAGTTATTCAGTCATGGTTGGACAATGCATTTCAACATCTCATTAGGATTCAAACAATACAAATAAGGACAATGTGAAATTCCACAAAACATAGACTTATTGTGTTTTTGTTGTTGTTGAAATAATAGTTGTATTCATTCGAATTTAGTAAATAATTCCTTTACATTCGGGACATTGAAGATTTTCTGTTTTCAGACAAACAGACATGCGTATAATCTGGCACAGTGCACAGATACCCAGGTAAGATATACATCGTTATAACACATCACTCGTTAATACTCTACTGTAATTGGTCAAAACATGACCACGTGATATCGGCTAAATTACCATAGCAGCGCCAGGGAAATTACTAGTTCCCTAGGAAGACTAGTACATCAACTAGTGCCCTGGGATGATGTCACTCGTCACCTGATCGTGTGATTTCCAATATGTCGTCTGCTAATACGGTCGCTGATATCGATGGTCCGCCTAGAAAGACTACGATTTAGCTTCAGTTCAGAAGAACTTGACACACTAGTAGAAAATAAAGATGCAACGAAGACGAAGGACCAGAAGGACGCAATCATGTGTTCTAGAAGCGTCTTTACAACGTTTTGTGAAGAAATCGGGACACCGCTAGCAGACGTCCAGAAGAACTTCTTAGACGGCAGACGATTTATGCACGTTCCTAGTATGAACGTGTAATGTGTTATAAAACACATATTGCATGGCGTAATTCGGGCACTACTCTACGTCTATTTTCCCCTCGGGTATGTGCTTAATATGCCATAGGTCAAAT